TGTCCTAACCATTTGCCTGTTATTCTGAACACGTTCTTTGGATTACCCTAATGCTCCAGTTTGCACCTGTTTGACCATTACCTGCCTGACTACTCTTGATTATTAAATTGCATGTGGATCCTCATCTTTGTTGTCCTGTATTTTACTCTAGAACATTTATGCCGTTTGTTACTGTATTTTAAAGTTGTACTATGAAAATTACTGTATATTTTAGAGTAAAGATTATATAAAGACATATACACCAAGATAAGTGGTGTAAATGTAATGTAAATACAGTATTTTTGCTGTAATTTATTTACAGTAAGTTACTAATGAACAGCTACTAGTAAGTTACTGTAGTTTCTACAGGAATCTTTTAACAGTGAGTACTATCCATGTTGTTAATGTATACAAATATTAATTGATTGAATTTAAAGAAACACACACACAAACACACACATATGTATGTATGTGTATATATATATATATGTATATATATATATATATATATGTATATATATATATATGTATATATATATATATATATATATATATATATATATATATATATATATATATATATATATATATATATATATATATATATATATATATATATATATATATATATATATATATATATATATATATATATATATATATATATATATATATATATATATATATATATATATATATATATATATATATATATATATATATATATATATATATATATATATATATATATATATATATATACACACTCATATATAACAGTTAGAGAAAGTCTCTTTCAGTCAAGTACTGGTTGTGTTGCCAGTGTACAGTACATGCAGCAATACATGTATACATTAACAGGTACCGAGTACATAAAGTACACACATGTGGAGAAAAGTGCACAAGAGTCATAGAAGGGAAATGAATGCTCAAGTGGTGTGTCCGTATTACCAAACTGTCTGATTAGAACTGTGACTGTTTAAACGTCACTGCTATTAATAAATCTTACTTTTCCCATGGTAAAAGTGCCTATCCAATGTACTGGAGTATTAAGTCATCCATAGTTTTTTTTTTCTTTTTTGGATTCTATGAATCCTCTGTGTGGTAACCAGCACCAGTTCTCATTGTATGCAAAGTACACTAGTTGCATAGGACCTCCAAACAACCAGGGGGCCCTGTTGTTCTCAAAGATTATTTCATTTCAAATGTGCATTTCAGAGAAGATTTTGATTTGGGCTTCCGGTGACACAATGCCACATTCTAAATCTTTACTTTGAAGCAGGGGTCGGGAACCTTTTTCCAGCAAAAAAATAAAAAAATAAATAAAATAATGTATATTATATATATAATACAGGCTTAAAAAAACCTTTCCTCATGTCCATGCACAACTCAAAAATAAACAAATATGATGCATTACAATGCATGTGAAAAAAGGACAATTCATAGAATTTTCTTGTTTTCGCCATCGTCACTCATGAACGTTGTTTGAATTTACGTGCACAGAGTTACTGTAGAAATGTAAGTTGCTTGCCCTTTATTGTTGTCATGATTCAAGTTAATCCAAAGCGCCACAAATCCAAAATGGTTGAAACGGCTCTTTTCTCATTTATTTTGCTGTAAAAAAAAATACACTAAAAGATAATTGTAATTGTATTTTCATTAAAAAACAGATTTCTGATGACAGTTATACATTTTAAACTTTAAAATATTATCAAAGAAAGACAGCTGGAGAGCCACATGTTTGGTCAAAGAGCCTTATGTAGCTCCCGAGCCATAAGTTCCATACCCCTGTTTTAAAGCAATGTGCTCTTTCTCTTAATAAAGGATATAATAGGCAACTTGTCAATTAATGCAGTGTTATGGGATCTTATGATAGGTGTGCGGCGAGGCAGTGGCGCAGTAGGTAGTGCTGTCGCCTCACAGCAAGAAGGTACCTGGGTCGCTGGTATGAACCTCAGCTCAGTTGGCGTTTCTGTGTGGAGTTTGCATGTTCTCCCTGCCTTCGCGGGTGCAAAGTGCCTTTTCGGGTGCATTCCGGGTGCTCCGGTTTCCCCCACAGTCCAAAGACATGCGGTACAGTATAGGTGAATTGGGTAGGCTAAATTGTCCGTAGTGTATGAGTGTGTGCGTGTGTGTGTGTGTGTGTGAATGTGTGTGTGGATGTTTCCCAGTGATGGGTTGCGGCTGGAAGGGCATCTGCTGCGTAAAAACTTGCTGGATAAGTGGGTGGTTCATTCAGCTGTGGCGACCCCGGATTAATAAAGGGACTAAGCCGACAAGAAAATGAATGAATGATAGATGTGCTTTGTTTGTTTGCGAAAAGTTTTTTTTTTTTTTTTTTAAGAAAATTATTCTGTTCATCAAGACGGCATTTATTAAATGAAGAAAAAAAAAAGTTAAATTGTTAAATATTTATTACATTTAAATAACTGCTTTCTTATTTTATGTAGTTTCAAATTAAATTATTACTGGAGTAATGAAGCTGAAAATTCATCTTTAAAATCACTGGAATGAAGATTAAATGAAATGATAAACTACTGTTGAACAGTTATTTTATAGTACAATAACATTTCACAATTTGTTCTGTATTTTTGATGAAATAAACGCAGCATTGGTGAGCAGAAGATTAAATTAGATTAATGCACTGAAAAAGTTTTCCATAGAGCCCCCAGACATCAAGAACTGGCACTGGTTTAAACCACAAGGACTTATTAAAATGATAGTTCCCTTTGGTCAGTTAAGCTTAAAAATATAATGCTTTGCAACAGTTTCTATTTTTGTTTGCCTGGTTTCATCTAGAACGACAGCATTCACAAAGAGCGATTGTCCCTTTTTAACCTGAACCAAATCAAATAAGTTATCATTTTGATACAAAAATATATAATAGATGTAATCCATACAATGTTATTTCTTTTCCAAAACAGACCGCTCATCAAAATATACTATTCCTCTATTAATATGTCAAGAAAAATAATACTTTTCTTGACACGTTAAGCTCTTGTTGAATTATGCAACCTTTGAAATGCAAAATATACAGTGCAACAATACTGTACAGCACTGAATCTGTTGGCAGGACATGGACCTTTTCAGTCGATGAATGTAGAGTTCAGTCAAACGTACTTGGTCCATGAGGTTTTGGGTCATTCCACAAATAATGAACAGTTTTTTGTTGTTTTTGATCAGCTGTGTTATTGCTTAGCTTGAACAGAGAATTAAGGACGCGGAAAACAAAAGTGAGGAACGGTGAATCTCAGAGCACACCGATTTCACACCGTATATCCATCTGCTGGAGGCCAACTGCGAGGCTTGATCTGAGCACAACAGGAAATTCCAGAAGATCTGAAAAGTAAGTGCTTACATTCTGCAATCCTTTCTGTCAAGAGCAAGATAAAGACGCAGAAACAGTGTGGTAAGAAGTAAAAGTTTTGTGAACATCCACAGGAGTTCTGAGGCATCAATATTCATTGCAGGTAATTGATTCGTCTGATTCATTTCTGAAGAATGATGTAAACAGAATATGAAGAGTGAGTGTTTAAAGCATCTAGAAGTTTCCATGTGAAGGCCCCGCGCAATGCTTTGAGGAATTACAGGAGGTCAATCCAACATGGCATCCAGCTGGTCAGCGAGATCATCGAACATGTTCCCTATATCATCAAGAATATTCCCCGCTGACTTCACTGTGTTAATGCCCCTGAGAGAAAGAAGAGCAGGAATAATGTGAAGACTGTCATTGTGAAAGGATAATAGGTTAGTCAAGTTTAATGCAATGTGGATGTACAGTGGGAATGCCCATGACCTGTGATAGAAAAACATTCATATTTTTTATCAAATGTACTGTATCTAAACTACCAGACAAAAGTTTGGGGTCAGAAGGATTTTTAAATGTTTCAAAATAAGCGTCTTCTGCTCACCAAGGCTGCATTTATTTCATCAAAAATACAGTACAAATTGTGAAATGCTTTTGTACTATAGTTTATCATTTAATTTAACAATTTATTCCAGTGATTTTAAAGATGAGTTTTCAGCTTCATTACTCCAGTCTTCAGAGTCACATGACCCTTCAGAAATCACTCTAATATTAATTATTAGTTATTATTATTAATGTTAATATTATTAATGGTAATAAATAATAAAAGCAAGAATGACTGGACTAATAAATTCATTTGAAAATACATACAATAAGTAATAAATACATATTTAATAAATAAATATTTAACAATGCTTTTGACATGAACAAAAACATGAAAAAACGACCCCAAACTTTTGACTGGTAGTGTACAGACAAGCTTACATAAACACATTACATACATATGACCGTTGGTAATATAGTGTGGGACAACAGGTGTAATGTACTTGATACATTACATTAGATACCGTTTTAGATACATTTTAATAAATAATTTAGCATGATTTTTGTTGCATGAATGCATTAAATAGGTTAATTGTCATTTTACAAATAGAAATTTGGTCTCAAATAAATGCTTTTTTTCTTTATCAATGATCACAATGTTAAGTCTTACAACAGATTTTGAGATACTTTTAAAAATGTTTTATTGGCACATCACTAATTATGATTACAGATTAAAAACTTCTTTTTTATTTAGTTTTTTAATACTTTAAAAGTAAAAAAACACACAAAGAAAATCCATTAAATTTACTGTAAAAAGTGACAGCTGTGGCTGCTGAAATTTCACCATTAAAAATACACTAGGAATGTGAATAAATTTTTTAAATATTACAATATTTCATACATTTTTTTGTCATATAACAATCTTTTAAAGTATGACATATATATATATATATATATGAACCCAATAAAGAAACCATAAAAATATTAACAATAGTAATTGAATTCATGGTTATTTACTATTTATCAATAAAACAGATTACAGGTGTTTATTGTAACATTTGACAGTTAGCTTACTGTTGAAATCACAGACATTTTTTCAGAAAATGATTTTTTAACAGATAAAATAGAAAAACGTTCATTTGGATTGTAATTAGAAATTGGTGTCTACATTTCCATGAAAACACAAAATCATACATCAACATATGCTTGACTACAGTTTCTAGGTAAAATTAAAGTTACAGGGCAGTATGCATACTGCCAGTGCGCAGACACCAAACAAGTTTGTTCCCTTTCACACTAATTATCGACATTATTAAAGAGACATATTATTAATGAATAAAGTATTATTTTCATGTGGTTCTTTTAAAGTAACATATTTTGGATTTGCAAAAACGTATACAGCATTCTCTAGAGACGACGCAACAGCATTTTTTCCAATTGAATGCTTTAAATGCAAAACGCCTCTTGACGGGCACAGTCTGTCGCAAAAAAACTGCTGTAAAAAGCACACCGCACTTCTATTGTCAACAAAAAAGGCAGTGTGGTGTGCCTTGTATTATTATATATTTTTGCCTTACAACCCATTTGTCTGTACAAGATCAACTGATGGAAATCATAAATGACGGTGGCCTTGGGGCAGTTTGCATATCACGTCTTTTCCGAACGTTCTTTTTTTTTTTTTTTCATTGGAGGTGAACGGCTTGTGCGCGTTTATTTGGAGCAACACATGCAAGTGCTGAAATGTGCTCACGCCTCCCAGGCATACCCAATAGAACATCTAAATGCTGCGAGCTTGTATTGAGCCACATGACAAGAACTTGTCGATCAGCTATATACTGTACTTTGTATGGAATATATTTTAGTAGACTAACACCCAAACACTGCAGTGCTTTTTAATTTTCTCCATTAATAAAACTTGTATCAGTTGCAGCAATATTTTGTCAGCTTTTCATCCTCTGAGAAAACAGTTGATGGTCGCCTAGAAATCTACCCATCGCCCCACCCACGGTAAAAATGTCAAGCAGTTGCCAGTCCGCGGTGATAATAATGCGGGGGACCACTGCTCTAGTGGTTACTGAAACATGCAATAAAACAAACCCAGAGCAATACAGTTTACATTTTTCCAAAATGTAAAATTTATTGCTCTGGGTTTGTGAAAGTTTTCAACCATCCAACAAAAATGTTTTAAAGTGTTTCATTTTCAACTCGATTAACTTTTTTTGGTGATTGCACAAATTTGTTTAATGTTCTGAGAAAAGGCATTAAAATACTGTAAAAATATAGTCAAACCAGCCTCATTGGAAATACAGTTGAAGTCAGAATTATAAGCCCTCCTGAATTATTAGACCACTTGTTTATTTTTCACACCATTTCTGTTTAACGGAGAGAAGATTTTTAACAGATTTCTAAACATAATAGTTTTAATAACAAATTTCTAATAACTGTTTTATTTTATTTTTGCCATGATGACAGTAAATAATATTTGACTAGATACT